TCCAGATGAGTGCTGGACTCAGCCTAAGGGCTGGGCCCTCTAATTGTGGTCTCTGGGCGTCGTTAGACACTACTCGGGGACGTGATTCCAAGGATTTCGTCTTCGTTCCACCTGTCCTCGGAGATGAAATCGGAAATGAAAATGTGAAAACACTCCGAGGACAAATCCTTGAGCTCCAAGGATTTCCCAGCCAAATCGTCCTCGGGGCCTGAGGATCCGTGTTTCACGGAGAGGAGAGGGCATGCACGTAGAGAGACCGTTACAACCGAGAATTCGGATCGTGGCGGCACCCTATTGGCTGAAAGCCTGAAGCACAACTTTTTTTCTTTTTTGTTTCCTTCTTTTTTTCTGACGTTGCTCCGAGGATGAGTCCTAAAACGGATGCTCCGAGGATGAGTGTAACGAAGACGATAAAAACCCTAAAGTTTTCCGAGGATTCATCCTCGGAGCCCGAGGATGCCCAGAGGAGTGTCTAACGACGCCCTCTGTCAGACCATTATGACAGTACTTTGAACACACGACTTTGTTTTGTTTTTGTTGGCCTTTTTGTGCACACATAGCACTGTAGCAAAGTTGCACTATCATTCCACCTTTGCACGTCCATAATATTGCATCCTCGTGGACGCCTAAATACTCAAAAAAAAAATAAAAATAAATCAAACCGTTCCTAGAAATGTCTTTGGAGGACACACACAGATTTGGGACGTAACACTTTGAAATTACCGCCGCCGTTCAGATTCCCCAACTCCGACAGACCGTATTTGTCACCGTCAGCCACACATGATCAGAAACCAAACCGCCCGGTGGTAAAATGTCTGTAGTGGGACCTAGCCCTAGGACTTGTGATTTTTGCTTTATGTTGTTTTCTTCTGAGCACTTCCCCCCCCCCTCCCCTTTTCTTTTGCAGACTCTTGAATTGTTCAATTGAATTTTATTGAGGTTATCCATCGGCCTAACTCAGTTGGTAAGGCACGCAAGTGGCATTTGGGAGGTCATGGGTTCAATCCCCATTGGCCTCATGTACCTTCCCAGGCATGCTTGGCGCCCCCGCCACCTACAGATAGCTCGTTAGTCCACCCGATTAGCTTTAAGAAGTCACTGCAGATGTTTGTAGGGGAAGAGGGGTTATCGGGGAGGCACGGTGACCGGCCACTCAGATGATGCTTGGTCCCTTCGCTACCGATTGACGCCTGGTTGGTGTCACCCACCTAATTCCTGTGAGGCTGGGTGCAGCCTCACACTCTCTCATCTGAAGAGTATATGAAGGCAATAAGGCCACCCTGGCAGATTAGACTTTGAATCCCACTGGGCTGGTTTTTCCGATGATAACATCCCAAGGCCGTCGCCCTTACAAAGAAAGAAAAAAACAATTTTACGGACAGTTCGAATTGATACCTGTGTACCGTTCAGCCAGAAGGATGTGATCTTTGACTTGTCAGTGCGTATGTGTTGATTATAATAATCAGAAGACTCAGGCACCTATTTAGGACTGGAGTCTAAGGGCCTTGCCACACTATGCAGGACCCCCCCCAAAAAAACGAGTGCATCTTCCTGAAGAAGGAAAGATTCCTCCACTACTATCAATAGCTAAACAAATGATCTTGCCAACTTCTCTGAATGTTGGACCCAATACGATGGGACTGATGCAAGATTTTGTTGGACCCGATACGATGGGACTGATGCAAGATTTCGATTGTATCAGACCGTTACCAGTTTCGGTACGTGTAGAGTGGTTTGCAGTGGAGTGCGGTCCAATGTCTGGAGCGCGGCCCAAGGTCACTAGCAAATCGGAGGATAGAATAGGCCAAGGAATCAGGGCTTTGTCTTGTAGTTTTTTTTTGTTTCGTCCATACTGCTTTTGGGTTCGCTATGTAACCGACACTATTGCACGTTCTCCATGCTTTTTTTTTTTTTTTGTTTCTCAGATTCGGCGTCACATTCCGTCCTTTTTTACTTGAAAGAGGACCTCTACCACTTATCTACCATAATCCATGATAGTGGGCCTCCTCCACCACCCAACATTTCTCATGCATCTGGACAACGTGGTTGACTAGACACATTTGATCCAACCTTTCGAATGTACTGGGGACCATTGCCCCCTTCAGATGCATCAAGAATGTTGTAGTGGAGCCGGGCCGAGTGTCAATAATAACATGATCAGATGCGGAGGGGGAAAAGGTCGAGGTTCTCGTCATCTCATGGCAAATGGTTCAAGCTTTGGATGGTAAAACATAGATAGATAGACAATAACGTGACCATGATGGGGAGCGGAACGAGGTCTGCTTTTCAGGTCTACGCTGAGGAGGTGGAACATAGCATGGAACATGAGGAGGTGGGCATCCTCGTTTGATGTTTGGACCAGGTTCATGATTGTGGTCGTCCTGATGGATAGGGGGAACTCGATCTGGTTTCCGCCTACGTTCAGGTCCGTGTAGAACACCGTGCTTAGCATGGGACAAGAGAAGGTGTGAATCTTGGTATTTTTGGACCATGCTCACGCTTGTTCTCGTTCTGGCGCTGGTCAACCCGGCATTTAATAGCTTACAGTGTGTGAAATACCGTTACGAATCTGGTTCACGATTATCATGGTCCGTTGCAAGGGAATGAATGATCACGCTACTAGTCTAAGAGGACAAATCCTACACGGAGGGTGCAAATGGATTGCCAAGGAATTGGCTTTGCATTGGGTAAATATGGAATGTCAAGAAATTGGCCTTCTTGAAGAGTGCATGTGCATGTGTGTGTTGTCGTGTTCGCTATACACCTCCACAAAACAAGCATCACTGTGCGAGACTGTTTTGTCGGACTTTTGCTGGCTGATCAGGGGGTTGAACTGCGGCAGTGTGCCCAGGATGGCCTTTGGCTGTGTGTGGCCACGTGTGTGTTTGTGTTGTCGTGTTCACTATACAGAACTCAAAAAAATCATGACCGTGAAGGACTATTTCGTTAGACTCTCACAGACTCGTTGGGACGTTGGAGAGAGAGAGAGAGAGAGAGAGAGAGAGAGAGAGAGAGAGAGAGAGAGAGAGAGGTCGCGCTGTGGCGCAGCAAACTCCCCTGAGTGAGCATCCTGGCGAGTTTGCTGCGCCACAGCAATCTCGCCAGGATGCTCTGTCTCTCTCTCTCTCTCTCTCTCTCTCTCTCTCTCTCTCTCTCTCTCTCTCTCTCTCTCTCTCTCTCTCTCTCTCTCTCTC